TTACTTTTTTTAATGACAACATAGTACAGTTTTAATTCCATATTCCAAAGCAGAAAATTTTTCTGAGTATTTTGATACATAATAATTGAATTTACCGACGGGTAGCTTATGGTTCAATAAGTATTTAAAGTATTGGTGAGCTGAGTGGAGCGATACGCTGTTACCCCGAAAATTTTTTGTACACTACTCCGTTAATCTAAAAATGCTCATGATTTATACGAGAAAATTATTCTGCTTGGTGATAATAAATTAAAACTCTAAGTTAACATCAAAACGAGTAAAAAACTTAATACATTTTATGTATGTATTTTTGTTTTAAATATTTTGTTTTGTACCTAGATAAATTGTGTAATTTTTTTTCTCAAAAACGTTGATATTTTTTGGAACACCGAGTTTCTTACGTAAAAGGGATTATCACAACTGATATTAATCTATAATAGAACGACCAAGCTTTTTATTATACTGTCTTTTAGCCAGAGGCAGATGTACCTATTAATTTAATTAAAAAATGACCAAGCGCTTTGTACTATGGTCTTGCGTAGACAGAGGCAAATAATAGACGTTATAATAATACGTTGTAAGTAGGTACTAAAAAATAAAACCGTTGATGAATATTATAATATTGAAAATGGAATGATAAATTCACGATGCCCTAGTACTCGTGTGTGCCTTCGTGTGGTTTGCTTGACTTTTGAACTTACAATACGACCCGACTGATGAACCCTTTCCTATCTTTATGAGTACGCATTATTGTTAACCAATAAAGGATTTTATATATATTTTTTTTTTTACTGCGTTTCACTTATTTCAAGTGACGGATTATAGAATGTACTTTTTTATAGTATTGTATTAATGTATTTACACTCTTACAAATTAGTCAAATATTATGAGTGCGGGATGCGTGATACAATAATAATATTGGTTCTGATAAATAATAATGAATTAATATTAGTATTCCGGGCTCCGGCTTAAATCAGAGCTCTTCGATGTATGAAATGTACTACAATGTTTCGTGTTACAACAAAGATTTTCAAACCTGTAAAATATCGATTATTTATTTACAAAAAACGTCGGCGAAAACGGCGGTTAACGGAGATTAAATAATTTTTTATTTATTTATTTAAATGAGCTACAACAACAAAGATTATTTACTTTACTTATCAAAAAGAAAGAGAAAAAAATGTTTTAAATTTTGGTACAGCATCATATAAGGTTATATACGTTGGTTGATTTCGATTATTTGAGCATTTTTTCAAAGTTGTCTGGATCTGTGTGGAGCCAGTCAGCAGTTTAGAGATTGGATCGGATATGTCCGTGGTGTAGATTCGGCAGTAGCAGATGATGTGTTTTACTGTGAGAATTTCTCCACACGTGGGGCATTGGTCAGGTTCCGTTCAGGTCATGAGGTGTTTGTGGGTCAGCTATGTGTGTCCTATTCGGAGTCGATTTATAATAACTTCCTGTCGTCCAGATAGTGAGAAGGCTGACTATGGGAGGATTGTTGATTTAATTTCATTAAGTTTAGTGTGTAGTGTTCACCGCAAGTGGTGCCATTGATTCAGAATAAACTTTTGGGCGCACTGTTCCATATCCTGAAATCAGCTCATAAGAAGATGGCGTGAGGAGGTTTATTGCTTGTTTAGCGTATGTGTCAGCCAATCATAAAAATATGATATACAACAGCGGTTCTTAACCTTTTGTAGAACACGGACCCCCGATGAAATATTTTTAGAAATCGTGGACCCCCCCCCCTACCAATTTTTTATCGAATACCTTTTTTTACAAAACATATCAATTTATCATAACCAGAATTATAATAACTATTTTATATTACAAATTATAGAAGTAGACAAAAAAAAATATACACATTTATAATTATTTTTATTAAACTTAATTTTTCATTTTAAACTTTAACATCATTAAACACTTAAATTAAAAAAAAATTGTAAAATAAATTATTCTGTTCTTAATATTCTTAAAACTTAATTTTTATTTACTTAATTATTAAGTGTTAATGCGATGGTTGATATTGGATTTCAGTTACGAGTTTTAAAAATATTGTAATATGCACTCATGTCACGTATTAACTTATGTTAGGTGGTAAGGCTGCCGCGGACCCCCGACATGAGTATTGAGGCCCCCCAGGGGGCAATATATATAATATATATCATATAACATTATGTTACCTTAAATCGGTATAATGTATTTAAAAAAGACCGGTAGTCCCTGACTGACTAATCGACGCACAACTGAAACTATGATCTATAGAGTTTTGCAATTTTCACGTTGTATCTTTGTACCATAAATCATGATGCACCTATGTATGTAGGGGTTCACCGTGAAAACCTTTTTCAAAAATTGTATTTTTAAGACTGGCTCACACAGGTGATTTATTGTTCCGGCCAAAATAACCTTTAAAAATCTTACAGACAGTACGATAATATATATATAAATAATAATTATATGAAGAAAAAAAAATATATGTTTGAGAAGTAATAATAAGCATGTTGCCATCAATTTTAAGCAATTTGATATGTCATTTTTTGATAAATATTTTCTTATAAAAGTTTCGAGTACAAATAGTACAATACTTTACCTTTAACCATAATATGTTGCAATTGATTAGTAAAACGAGTTTTGTATATGATTATCATAGTGACTACCTAGTGATGAACTGATAAAAAGCATTTACAAATGTATTTATCAGATACCCATATCATTTTTTTTTGTTTTGTAGAGAGTTAAAACAAATATATCAATTGTATTATACAAATTAATAAATATTATAATAACAATTGTTGTTTACACCAAACGCATGTAATGTTCGTTAGTATTTTTATCTCAGAGTATTCGTTCCAAAATACGTCCAAGTAGGCATTTCGAAACAGCAAGATTAAAAAAATATATATGCATAAGTACAATATCAAATTGAGATATAAATTAAAAATATATGTAGAAACCGATAATATTGATTAATTATAAGCCAAATGATGAACAATGGAAGGTCATATCACAATGCTTGTTCCATAATGTGTTAACAACAGTAGTTTTGAAGCAAATAAATCATAATTGTTTAACGTTAAGGAAAATAACTTTGTAACAGAATTGTGTTGCACCCATTACAAAAGTACAATACGAGATAAATTGAAAATTATTTTTTTTTTATTTGAATAGGTACTTATAATATGTAGGTAAACAATCATGAGATAATAATAAATCTCCACGACTGAACGCCTTGGAATTTTCAAATAAGGAAAACTATAATAAATAAATCATTTAAACATTATGATTATCTATGATTAATTATTATTATTATTATTATAATTATTATTATTATTATTATTATTATTATTATTATTATATTCTTATATTCACGTGCGTCAATCGGACATTCAATTGTTATCGACTCAACGAATTTGTCTCGCAAAACAGATTATTTTACAAACAGGAAAACAAGAAAAACAGGGACGATGTTTGTTGGTCCGGTATTATCTAATTTTGTTTTTAATAATTTAAACTTAAGTATGCTTTTAATTTCATAACTTTCAACAGAATAGTAGAATACATTTCTGAATAGTGTAAAAATATAAATATTTGACACAGGGCCACAGGCCGTCCCGAACAACAATTCATGAAGAGGTAGACAAATCAATTTGTTTACATTTTTTGTATCGTTTTGCTCAAAAACTGTTACTATTAAATTAATGTTTAGAGAGGTCGTCCCCGCGACCTCCTACACTAAACCACCTCTCAACGTCCAAATCTTCACTCTACACATGTGCTTCTTCCAGATCATTCTACGACTTCTCTGTACTTACAGTTATACTATTGTATACTATACATATTAGTATGTTATTGTAATCACATTATTTCTATATATCTAAAATTAAAAATTGTCAATTATCCATAGTACTAAAAAATAATTTTAATTATCGCGTTAATCTGTTAAAAGTTTAAAATTAATATGTATACATCACTATATATAGATAGCCTTACTGCCTTAGGCTAGAAATGTCTTGTGTTTAAAATAAAAAAAAATTTTTAAAAAATTAGTGTTTAGAAATTATTGCACTTTATTCATGCATATAAATAGCTTTGTTTATCTGTCTATCCTTTTTATTTTTTGAGTTGATCATGTGAAGATAAAAATATTAACAATTTATCATATTTTTACAGCATCCACAATGCATTTCCCCGAATTAAAAAAAAAAAATTAAAATTCTAACTTCAGTCATTCATACAAAATTGTATGCGTACATTAAAAAGGCTATAACTTTTAAATCAAACATTTTATACATTTCACAAGAAAAATCATGTATAAAGACTTAATTCAATTTTTTTTTTTTAAGGTAGTAAAGTAGTTTGATACCAATATTATTGTCGATTTACGCTCAAACATCAAAAACTATAATTTTTTAGCTAACCATTATAAATGTAAAAAAAAATATAGTCAAGATACTTTTGAAATTGCATAACAAAATAATTCTAATCATTGGTTTTTTTTACATTTAATATTTTGTTATGCTAAGTCTATAAAGATTAATTAAGAATAAATAAGTCAAACTAAAAAGTCTTAAATAAAATAATATTTATCATTTTTGTAAATATTAATAAAGCTTAGGCTGTACTTTAAGGAAAAATTAAATGTTGAAATTTCTTATCACACGTTATTATCAGAAACTGTTAGTTATTTAATTCCAAAATTAAACATAAATAGAATACCTATAATTCATGTGTGATTTACTTTCAAAAATCACTCAATTAAAAAACAAGTTAAGTATTAAACTCAATACTTTACCGGAATCGATAATATTTTAATTTTTTTTCTTCCATTTTATATAACCTGATTGAATAATCATCGTATAATATCCAATTCGTCATGTGTCAGTTTGTGTGTTCTTCAATATACGTTGGTATTTAAACACATACCCATACGATTTATTAAACCGGTGGACAGATGTCAACGAGTTGTTTATACATTTCATAAAATATATTTTCGTCGAAGCAGATGTTTTCATAGTTGCTGCATCGCCATGAAGTTTTACAGTGGTACGCTGTACAAAACTTTAGTGCTCTTTTAGGTTCAAACGAAAAAATAATTAAATAATCGAAAACATTCTAAATTATGACTTTATTTATTAAAATTATTTTTATACTGAGTTGTGAAGTGTTCATTTTCAATCTACCCGAGTCGCATGGAATCCAAAATCCGGTAAGCATCGAAAATGACTTGAGATAATGTCAGCGCACTTAAAGGCTCACCCTCTATGGCACACTCTCGACACACCAAATTTCGTTGGGCAGAACGAATATCAGATACACATAGCCTATTTTATGTTACAGTGAATTAACAAATATTATTATGAAATATAACTTTTAGAGAAAATTACATTAATTTTTTGTAAGTTGGGTTTTATACGATGACAAATGCATTGTAATTTATTTTGAAAAAATGCATAATATATCACCGTGTTTACCGAAAAAGGCTAAGGTACAAACGATATGCTTAACTTTATGTTTGATAGGTTATGAGTAAATTCACTCTAATATTAAAGATAACGATACAGGATTGATGCTTGGACATTTTCCGTGTTGCATGTGGGTCAGAGAGAGGAAACAAATAGTGACCTTATATCTTACCAACAGTTATACACTTAGTGTTGTTTTGGTCGATAAGAAAAGACATTGAAAACAATTGATTTAACAGAAAACATCACTCATTATCTAAAACTAGTATAAACATTTATTTCCATAATTTAAAATCACTGCAAATGAACTATATTTGTTTCGGGGTAATTGTTTATTTTTTTTAATGAAATAATACATTTTTAATTTCATAAACTCAAACAGAATATTTTTTAAGATTTTTAATATGAACAAAATCAAATTATTAAGCAAAGCATTTCACTCATAATAATTTTAAATAATTGTAAATAAAAGTTAGAATTCAATTATCTACAGTAAAATTCTCAAAAAAATATTAAATTCAGAAAACAAAATTGAAAATGTATAATTTCATTCAATAAATTAATAAACTAGTAATGAAAATTATAATTTTTAGGTTTTAGGTAATAAGTAACTCCAAAATAATCCTTGTGTCTATTCATTATTTTAGTTATGTCTGAAAAATGTAATTTATTTAAATAGTAATGTTTTTATAATCATTTGATAATTGTATCAATACGCTTCGTTGTTTAAAAATATGAAATTATCTTTTAAGGAGAAATTATTGGAAATAATATGTCAAAGAAATATAGGAATATTTAAGATGCATGTATATATCGATTTTGTTATTCTTTTTAAAGTACTACTTTAAACTTGAAGATAAATAACTGTAGATACTTGAAATGTTCACCAAATATAAAATACAATTAGTGTTAACTATAGATATTTTTATTTTTCATTATTTAATTTCTCAAAATATTTTTGGTTGTTTTTTTTTTTTGGATTAATTTATATACATTTTACTTTTTTTTGTAATTTTTTATGATTAAATTTGAATTTTTTCAAAAAGAAAGGTTGAATATTTTATGCAAATACTAAAGTTGCTGTTTTAAGAATTCAAAATTACAGAAAAATCAGTTGCGAATTTTATTAAACGTTTGAAATTCAAATTATGGAAAATTCGTTAAAACCATGAAAACGTCACACACTTATTTTGTTGCTGAATACTTAAACAATTTTCAATTTCAACATTAGCTATAAGGATTAACAATTCAATACAAAATTCCTCAAGAGTTTTTCTTACACTGATTTAAAAATATCAAAAAATAAAAGTTTCTGAAACATTTTTTTACTGACATTTGAATTTTACATTGTGTCAAAACCGAAAAAAATAAACGATTTTAGTTATTTTGTTATAGTTCAAATTTCAAATGATATTAATCGTAGAACTTGAAATATTCTACTGTTACTTATCTATTATCTTCTAAAATATACAGTGCCTTTTTTAGAACATTTAGACTAATTATTTATGTACTAAAAATCTATTTTCACTGTTCTACGGTACTTAGACTTATACTTGTCTTAACAATAATATTTTTTCATGTTATGTTCTATCATCAGATGGGATCCCTGTCATTCATGTTCAAACTTCAAATTCCACATGATATCATCATATTATATTTTTTAGAATATGCTAGATTATAATTATTATGAAAATACATTGTAAATATTCCGAATAAAAGATAAAAAGAACAATAATATATTTTAAGGTATGCAATGTTTTTGGAAAAAGTATTTCAACCTTCTCTTTTACTATTTTAGAAAAATAAATTACTAACAACTTTTTAATAATTTATATCATTACAAATATATATATGGCGACTAACTGTCTCGGCTGAGTGTCGTTTTTCCTATGCGATGATTTAACGTCGAATTCAAATTCATTTCAGTGACATACTCAATGATACTCGATAATAACGGACTACGATTAACCAGCTTAGCGATTTGTTTTATTTTCAACGAAAATTACTGACATCTCAACTTCAAATGAAATATCGTTGTAAACTCGAAATTGGACGTCTTCGAATTTTGAAACATAAATATTTTATCACATATGAGTTCATTAATTACGTTTCTTTAAAATCCATTCAAATATTTAATTAGTCTTAAAATAGCAATATTTAGCAGTCAATATAATGTACTCAGTACGTTATCGTATAAAATAAATATACCTTGTACATATTACAATATTATAAAATATAAATATAAATTGAGTGAGTGATTTAACCACAAATTTCCAATGCAATATATATTTATATATATCATAGAATTATTAACCTTATGCAACAATATAGGTATTATTCGATAACCTACATAGGTACAGAAAATAACAATCATTTATTATAAACGCTTATCAAAATAATAATAATAATAATAATAATAATAATAATATATTTTCATTTAATATTACGAACCTCAAAGAAAACTCTGGACGAAAACTTTATAAATAACTTTTACTTTTAGTAAAATGAATTTTATTCCTTTTCGCAACACTTCTAGTGTAGTTCTAGATACATACAGATATGTGTTCGTTTTTGTAAAAGTAAACGAAAAACAACTCGGAGAATTGTGGCGAAAGTTTTTTTATTTTAAGTAATCGGTTCGAAGTTTGCTAGTGTGTGCAGTCGGACAGGGCAGTGTTTGAACTTAATCCCGAGTGTACTATATTTTCTCATTTATACCAAGAAAAGTCCAAGCATTTGGCCGAAACGAGTATATATGGAATATAGGTATAAGTACTAAATTCTCACTGTGAGAAATTATTATGAAAAAATTAAACTATTTCGATAGGTAATCGATTCTAGCGTTAGTTGTTAGAGTGTAGTTATAATACGGACCTCAGACATTGTCAAAAAACCATCATATTATTTTTGGTCACTGTCAGCATTTATCATAATATATGGTGATTACCATCATTAAAATTAATAATTCTAACACTGAAGCTTCGTGATTTGTCTAAATATTTTTTACACTTAGGTAATATGTGTCATATGGAACCTATATGACTGAAAAGGGGTAAAAAAAAAAATAAAATATAGTCAAAAAATAGAATTTATTTGTTCACAATAATTGTTATATTATATACATCGTCGTATGGGTTCAAACTGTATTGTGATTTGAGATTTAACGTGGTTGAAAAGTTATGACTATTTTTCACTTCATTTTATTTGATATTATACAAAATAATATGAAATAAACTTTAATGTACTAATATTGTATATGATTTATATCTTAAGTCTTCTCATAGGATTACCTGGAATATTATCAGAACCATAAGTGGACATGATTCAAATGGTTCAAAAGTCGGAAGTAGATATTGCATTTAAAAACAATGAAGTAATAGATAAATTGCATTTCTAATTTGAACGCTGGATATCCAAGGTCCGCTCGACACACAGTCTTAGGATTTCCAGAGATTGACTACAGCTACTGCACGGTTCAATAATTTGATTAATTATATTATTTTCTATTAATGTCTGTACCAACTTCTCATCATCATAATATAAAAGTAAAATTAAGGCCAAACACTCATGGCCAGCCCGTATTTTAAGTGGCCCACAGAGATTTTCTCATTAACTCGTCTGCCTCCAAGTCTGAGGTTCCAAACCTATTTTGACTTGTGGCACGTAAAATCATTTTTTTAAGAAGTGGATAAGTGAGTAACAATCTGCTGTACATTAGGTGTTAAGTGAGTCACAGTATTGAATGTGTTAAATATGAATTCAATGATTTAACATCTTTGTGTACGAAAAACAATTCCGAGCGATGCAGCTAATATTACTAAGTAGATATATTTTAATAATGTGGTATTATTGGGATTAAAGTAATTAATTTTATTAAATTGCAAAATTTTCAGATTGCATTTGAAAATGTCATTGTGTGTCTAACATATATCATAATATACCTTCTTACTTTGAAAGTTTTAAGTACCCACAAATAATATTTTTAAATAACGACCAAATAACTAAAATCTGTAAAAAACAACTGTTTCAATTGTAATTATGTGCAAAATAAATGTGGGATATAAAACAGAATTGCCATTACAACATTGGCCTACTACAATCAGTATTCGTGGTTTTTTTAATAATATTTTGATGATAGTAACTTCTTTTGGATTCTGAGCGGAGAGATGGATAACCTTGATTTTTCAATGATGTTAATTTTATCAAATGTTGAACATTAATTACCTACTAATAAAAAAAAATCGTGCTTCGTGGATCATCAGCTAATTAAAAAATAAATTGGAATTTCAAATGTCTAAGAATAACTCAAAACTACTCAAAATATTAAAAAAATTGTATCATGTATAAAATCGCTCAGCGCAGAATCTAAAATCTGGGGCCACTTATATTAATCATATAATTATAATTATAGTTATTGTGTACTTATTTTTATATTTTATAACCATGGTTTTCTTTGCTAGGTATATTTTATAAAATCATTTTTTTTTTTTAAATGTGAAAAACATGTATGAGAAATACATTAGAAATGGCTTCACGGCACTCTTAATTGAAATTCGTGGCACCCTGGTTGGGAACCACTGCTCTAAATATACAAACTAGGTAGGTCATTGTCTATTTCATGGGGCCTTTTCCAAAATGGCAAAATCTTTTTGAATCTTAAGGACTTTCATTTTAATCGGTTTAGTTTGTAGTAGCTATCACTATTGCTTATACATTTAATAATTACTTTCAAGGTTTAAAATTATATGTATCTGTGTATTTTTAATTACCAACTCGCCAATCTAATTAATGCAGATGTTAGTTATAGAATTATAATGAAAAAAAACTAAATGTTGATAAGATACATCTTATCAGGTAATATTTGCATAGGAATATGCAAAAAATTAGTCTACGATGTATAATTTATAAGTATTGAATATCGTCTACAAGTTAAAATGTCTGCAATATTGTATATTGAATAAACGTTTATTACTAAACTGATAATTAATAATTAATTATAGATTAAACAACGTGTATAATATACATATTTACCTTAATAATAAATAATTTATTACAATATGTTATATAGGTAGTCATCTATATTTATACTATATTATTATATTTGGTTTTAATAATAATTTTAAGACATTTTGAGTAGTATTTCTGTAATAACTGTCGTTCAGATCTTTTGGCGTTTTTAGAGAAATTCATGTTCAGGCGATAACTTATATTCCTCTAAAATATGTGTTTCATTATTAGTCTATTATTTTCAGTTTTTCGAATTTCAACATGATTATTTAAATAACCAGATACCAATTACCTACACAAGCCCTTCGCCAGCTGTGCAATTCTATTGTTACTTTGGTATCCTGTCAGATCTAAAAATACAGGGTCGAGCGATTAAAATTAAATTTATAATCAAAATAATAAAATCTTTAACAATTATTATGAAATCGTACAAACAATTATTTAACTGTATATTTTTGCCGTCGATGTTGGTAATAAATAATGATACTCTGATATTGGTTTAGACGAACACGAATAAACACTAAATAGTTACCTCCGTAATGTAACCTACATAACGTTAGCTACCTATGACTTACTGTTGCAATGTTAGGCTTTTATAAAATAATGCTAATCATACCTATGAATCCGTCACAAGTTGAAATTTTATTACATCTCCAAAGTTTTATCATATTTTCGTACGCCTTTTTTGCGATGTGAGATAGGCATATATTTTTACAGTAGACATTTGGATCGTCAGCCATTATTTATTGATATAAAACAAAATGAAAACATGCGGTTTCGCAGACTGTGTTGTCCAAACATTATAAATATATTGCTTTTGGAACATATTTACAAAACGCATAAAACAAACATAAACGTACCCAATAAATATAGTGTGAAATAAAGCTGATTGACGTGTTCTTTTTTTTTTTTTTTAATTACTTCTATGATAGTATAGACGACCGGGGAAGTAGGATTTATTCGACCTATATATATATATATATATATATATATGGGTAGTAATGTTACATTGTTGTCTAATAAAGTAATAAACTCTGAAAACATTTTCCACGGATCACGACTGTGGTAGAGTGGTCACGGTTTTGTAACCGATTGATTTCTTCACTACCACGTCGGCGATCGACGACACAATTACAAGAGATAACAATGTCGTCCAATAAAGAATAAGGTTCAATCTATAAAAAAAAAATGTGCGATTTGCACCACGATAACGTCAAAAAGTAACGAATTTCAAAAAGTTTCATTCCCAGACTATCTTATCGTCGACTATGGTATTTTTGGAATATTCCGACTCTTAACTGGATATAAAATTTCAGTGGCTGCTAAAACCAAAAAAGCTTTAGGGGATAAACATGCACAGGGTAATAACCGTGATGGTCACACATGTTAACAGATTCCCACATTATATTATTATAAAATACAAAATACGAGTACATACAACAAGACGATATTTTTTTTCCCGTCTTCGTACGCGCAACTTTACGACAACTCTATAATAAATTGACTTCGTACACAGTCACGGCTCGTTTGTATGTCTTATAACTAAAATGTTATTTGAGAATAAAAATTTTTTTTGTTTTAAGTATTCGTCATAAATTATGATTAATGTCTTATAATATTATAGTAAATTCAGGGCCCATAATTTCAGTCTCGTGACCTTTAAAAAGGAGGGTTCCGTCCATCCAACCCGGCGCTGTTTTGACGATTTTGGTGTTGTCATATTTTTAATCGAACATTATCTCAGGAGAGTGAAAAATACTCGTCCTTTTTGTAAGCAATAATATTTAATAATTCAATTTTCGACTGCACAAGAGACCGGTGGACTTTCAGAGGTACTCATGATGTTCTCGAGTTTATAACTCCACTCCATATATTATATTATTAAATTTAAATTTTTTAATCTTTCCGGCCAAAAACCTAATAAAATATTATCCAGAGTACTCATAAACACCAACATGCTCGTTCATATCATAGTACAATTGGCCGCGAGACTGTAATTTTTTTCCCGTGAATCATTTATTATTTATGTGTGATATTAGATCTTTGCCGTTTTATGATAAATCGTAGAAGCACGGTAGAACTCCACCACATCCAAGAGCGAATAAATTCGAAGTATTATGCCGGAATGGGAACGTTATTACAATAAAAAATTTATAAAATTGTAAAAAAATTTTTTTAAGACCAATTTTATATAGGTAGGTACGAGACGTGTCGTCACCGCTGCTGAAATATTCACTAACTCGGATTGCATCAAGTCTGACCTACGAAATTTCTCTAATACAGATATTTTGTACTATGTAGTATAAGTAAATTGTTCAAAGACTTATTGCATTTTCATGCAATTATAATATCTCAGTCAACTATTATTTAAAAACATTTTCAATTTATCAAACACGCTATTTTTTAATATTAGAAAGTCAGGTTAGTGAGGCTAGATAAATTGACACATAATAAATAGCTTGACTAATTAGAGGTACTAGTGGATTGTTTCTATGTTGTTACTTGTTTCTGATGTCGCCATTAATAACAGTAAAACAGCTTTAATTATCATTTTTGAAGGTGGTATCGTACAGAAAAATTAATGTAGTTAGTGCTTTAAGGTGGTCAAAAAAATAGACCGACGTGTTTGATGATCGGGAAAAATAAAAAAAATTATTAAAACACGTTAATATTTTATGCAATAAAAATTGTTGACACAAATTTAATATTGTTTTATATTTAATTAAAATATAACAAATTTACGTGGACACAAATCATTATCATTTTTAATTATAAGAATTTGAAATTTATCAAGTAAGCGCTTGAATAATAACACTAGTTTTAAATTAAAAAATAAGTCTTTATAATAAGGTAGAAGGAAGTCGATTCGGGTTGTGTCTCAAATAATCTCGTGAATTATCTCACCCCGTCTATCCGCAACTTATGTTGACGGGTTGTAAACTTCTTTATTTATTTCGTTTGTATTCCTTTCAGTTTAATATCATCCTATACCATAAGTGCATTTTTTTTAAACATCACAATTACAAATGTATAATTATATTTTTCTCTGCTTTCAGGGATACCATGTATCGACATTAAGTGAAGAACTTACACCCAGTGAACGTTTCATATATATATTTTTTAGGACTTTGCCGAATAGGATTTACTACTCATATGAGAAACATTGTTACATTGTGAGAGGACAAACAGTCCATTACCAAAACGATCTTCGTAGAAAAAGTGATGGAAAACGATATAAAGTCATGCCCCGATGGCAGTATTACTTGAGTAAATTGTCACCGATGAATCTAATACAATCTGGACTTGAATATGTTTCAATCGCGAAAAGTATTTTGGATGGAGGAGGTCTTGGCGATTATGCTGATGCCGATTTAGATGGTTTCGCAGATGGTGATGGAGATGATGGTATAGATGTCGGTGCAGATGACCCCGATGATAGTAAAAAAGAGCCAGGATTATTATCAAAAGGTGTGGACATGGGTAAGGATATGATGTCGCCACTGTTAAATTTATTTGGCGGCTCTAATGATGCAAATAATAATAACGAAAAAAAAGATGGTGATAATGGCAAAAACGATGAAAAGAAAAATGAAGAGCCCGGTTTCTTATCAAAAGGTATGGGCATGGGTAAAGATTTGATGTCGCCAGTGTTCAATTTCTTTGGCGGCTCTAATGATGCGAATAACAACAATAATAATGAAAAAAAAAACGACCCTAAAGACGATAAGGAAGGTGACAAGCCAGCAGAATCCGAAAGCTATATGGATATGGCCAAAAATGCCTTGGACAGTCCAGCTGTAGAAGTGGCCAAAGAAGTACTGGAAAGTGACGCTGCCAAAGACGCAGTAAAAACTGGAATCAGCCTCTTTGTACCCGGAGGACCAGCGATTGTAGCTGCAATGGATGGTATGCAAAAATACAATGAAGCGCATGCCACAGTCGATAAAGTGGAAGATAAAATACCTAAATTGAAATAACAGTCCCACAATTAAGTGTAATTAAAATTCAAATATTTTTAGTTTTTGAAAATCGTGCGAGAAGATATTTATGTTAGTTGATAATTAACTACCTTGAGTATGTTTGCATGTATTTATAATTTATTACAATATACAGTGATTATTTATGTTCATGTAAATGGTATGATAATTTGGGAAAAAAAAATTTTATTTTGTGTTCGCAGGCACCGATTTCTGTTATTTTAATAATTGCTAAATCAACAATATTATATATTAATATTCGAAAATACGTAGAAGTCTTTGTGTTTACGACATTCTTCAAGTCCAAAACACTTATTAACATCAAGTACTGTACAATACCACATTGAATATAAAACATTGATACGTATTATGTAGGACAAAGAAGAAGTGTTACTGCACTGAATATTCTAAATATTAATATTAGGTACCCAAATATTTATTTATGATATTATATGAAAATTGTCTCGCGGTTTTAAACGTTTAAGCATTAACTGATGATACCGCTATCGGAAAGGTCAGCGATAGATTAACACATTCATTCGTTGGCCGATATTCTCTAAGACTGATTAGAAAAAATGAAACACTTTAATTAACACTTATTAAATTTACAAAAATGTTTGATAGGTACTACCTATTAACACGAGATAATTATGAATTAGTATAATATTCATGTGTACCTATATGTGATTTTAAAAAAACATTAATTTTTATGTGCACTATAAATTTAAAAAAATAAAACCGATAGCGTAAAGTATATAAGTCTAAAGTATATATATATATATATATATATACCTCTAAAGTGCCCATCACATAACGTGGTGATTTGTTTTATACTTTGGAATTAAAAAATCGTGCAATATTTAACTTTTGTTTAACTCATTTTGTTCACTAATAAACTGTTGTACTTAAAATAATTAAAACTACTTAAAATTACTAAAAAGCTCAAACAATTACGAGGTAAACATACTCGGTACGTTATCCGTGGAGTTTGATTTTAAATTCTATGCAGAGTGAAGAGTTTATAAATCGAACAATGATGTGTTGTATGGGTATGGTTTTATTATAACTATTTTTTTTTTCACGCCGTCTTGTAGCAAAAAATTGGTTTCTTTAATCTTCTGCATAAATCGATGGCGGTTTCTAGTCATTACTCAGGGGAGTCAAAAATACAATAACCTTTAAACAAAACGACTACCGTGACAAATTTAAAAACAAAAACAAAAATTTACACTAAATTCCAATTGACAAGTACATAAGTAAAACAATATTGAGGGCAATGATTGAAAGCTCTGCAATGTGCTTATCACATATTATTTTGACGATACACATGGCAATGAATTTGTTAGAGTCACCGAATACTGCAATAGGAATTGGAAACGGTTTGTTGTACGATTTCCATTACCTACACCCATTTAATAATAATACGTATTATTATGTTACTATTGAGTCGTATTAGGACAATATTGAATAGAGTACATAATATGACACTTGAACTCGTCATTAAAAATGAGTATGTTTGCGAAATCTACAACTTTTAATGCCGATTACTGCGTACGGTTTCGAAAATGTGGCGGTCGGTGTCGGACATTCAACAAAATTGTCGACAGGTACCGACACCGTTGTATAGCATAGTCGTGGAGATAAATGCGAGCTAGATATATTTTCGACTTGTTGAAGTCACCGCATATACAATGTGGACGGGAAAACGGTTTCTAGTTTGATTTCCATTACATCCTTAAAATAATAATAATGATAATAATAAGGAATTATTAGGATTATTATGAGGTACACTACCAACACGCTACGTGTTGTGATGATATTGAATAAAATATTATGTACAACAAAGTGGTATATCGTAAATTGATTTTTATTTTCGTTTAAAATAATATAACAGCTGGTTTAGATTTTTACAACCACAGAGTTATTGATAATATATTCATTATAAATTAATATCGACATGTTTCAATTCGAGTATATTGTACTTAGCATATTATTATAATTGAGTACAAAAATATTTCTTTTATATATATATCACTTTCCAATCATCGAACTGTTTGATTCTAAAACTATTTATATGAATATAAAATACAACTTAAAAACTAAGGTTCTATAAAACAACTATAGGTAACATATGTGTTCTTAAAAGAGATAGTATTCAAAACAAAACAAAAAATAGGTATAAAATGGAAACAAAAAATAAAAAGACATAAAGCCATAAAAAACGAATTCATATCTGAAATAATATATTTTGACGACTAACCGTTACATTTTTATTTAAATGCACAACTAAAAGCCCGTGTGATAATCAAACCATAAACATATTTATTCATTCGTCGACGAATAAATACATATGGATATGTATATAGTATTATATATTATAATGGCTCTATTGTTTATTAAATAAATAAATATTAAAAATTATGACAACATCGAGGTGAAAACTTAGTTTGTGGTTTGCAAAAAACGCGCAAATGAATTAAAACCGTGCCATTTTTAAAACACCTTGCCCTTAATAGTGACACCATTATTAAACCTTAATATGATAATAATATTATAAAACTCATTATATCTAAGCCCATATAAAATTACTACCGTCGAAAGGTTTTTCTTTTTTGATTATGATTATTATTATTCTATGGGTTCCAATAAATATGTAGAATATCGTATCCAGTTTACTGCCCGTGTGACCGCAAACATTTTCATGAGCCGTTTCCGATTGCTGCCGTATAGTCATTAGTTTTTCAATCCATACGTGTTCCAGTCTGAAAACATGTAGACGTGTAAGTATAACAGAATTTAAGACAATAATAATAATAATAATAAAATATCTGCTGAAGCCGAGAAATGATTTTCAATTTGATGGGGTGAATATGAGATTTTCGTTAATAATTGTAATTTTACTTCTTCGACTTCGCCTTCATATTTTCTCAAACTGGTAGGTAGATGCATCGGCGTTTCTGTGATTCCCCCTCCCCCCTCCCCTAGATAACTTCCCGAGTTGCCATCAAAAACCCCGCCGGAAAAAAATATACATATAAATATGAATCGGTGATCCCCGGACACTGCAGGTGGTCTGTATAGTTATAATAGCAATCTGCACAAACCTGCGATGTAGCTCTCGAGGTCTTGCATCACAGGGTACCAATCGGCGCTCGAGTAGCTCAACTTGGGTTTCTTGCCACCGTAGTCTTCTGGGAGCATGTTGGCGTCCAAATGCTTGTGCAGGGACGACATCTTGTTGCCGTGGAAAAACAGCTGAAAACAGCGAGGGAAAACAGCAGATTAGATTTTGCGACACAACCGTTGGATATCATTGATAATGGCAAGAAAGTGTTGTCCATCGACTCCCGGAGATAATATCTCGAAATCACGAAAACATGTTTTCTCCAGAAGTCTTCACACACACACACACACACACACACACACATAGTAAATTGCCCAATATTCGTGTCTTAAACTTAGAATATTGAAAACAACGACGTGAATACTATACATAATAATATGATACGTACACGTTTCTTGAGCTTGTCACCAACAAATTGTTTGAACATCGGCCACACCATGTTGAACAAGAACGGTTGACGAACAATGTGCACTTCTTTCATGCGGAGTGGCATAGCTTCCTATACGAAAACGAATAATATGATATTAAGTACAAACGCATTGATTGATTCAGTGTTATTAAGTGAAAATAATTATTAAACATGCGAACAACGGTAGTCGTTTAAACGTGTATAGTGTATTATTTTCTCAACTGCGTCTCGTTGTACAAAAGAAACGTATGAAATAGTGTTTAGAGTCTTACGTATTTTACAGTTGAAATGTATATATATATAGTGTACGGCAAATACAAATAAATAATTTTGTTTATCTACATAATGCGATTGTAAGACATAATAATTTAATCAGTTCTATATCAGACTTAAAGTTCATCATCGTTATTATTACCTATATTTTTTTTTCAAACGGTAGTTGACGTAAACATAATAATGTTGTGCCTTATAATATTATGTAGTCCGTTATTTGTAATAAAATAATTTAATTAACAAACATTATCGCCGAAAAGCTAATATTATTAAATCGGATGAAATAAGACCGTCGATTGACGTTAAACCCATACCGTGGTATTGAACTTTTAACCGTAACTCATTTCTATATTAGGTACCCATTATACAGGTATGCAACTCGCGCGTGCACACTGTGGCTCTACCAGCTTTACGCACCTAACCAATTTTTTTTTCGCAGAACAGAATATTATTATAACTGTTATAACAATATTGTGATAAATGATGATGATAATTGTTAATGATAATAATAATAATAATAATAATAATGATTACACGTGCGTCTGCGTCGAAAGCGGTAATTGTGTTTCGAATAATTTAAGAATAACAAATCTCCGGTGTCCCTGCCCTTACAGGTAGTTACGCGGCTGGTTGCAACGTAATAAAAAGTTTTTGATGTTCGACTTAACACGGTGGTCAATAATAATTATGGTTTCACCCCACGAGTTGTTACGAATATAATACAGCTGTCTACGTGTATACGACGCACTCAATTATATTATACTGCGTAGGTATAGACCGATAATCAATCTATGGGTATAAGTACCTTTAATATTATGTCAGGGGCAAAACATTATTATTATTATTATCGAGTCCAAACACCGTTTCGAGTACGCCACGCATATTATACTACGGTTACTAATATCATAATTATGATTTAAACATTTTTTGTTCTGCGGACGAGACACGCCATCGTCGTAGACTTTGAACTTGGCGGCGGGAGAACGATGATAGACTCCGAAGTGCCTACACGTATGTATGGGCATAGAATGTGGTTTCGCCTATTCCTTAAAATTAGTAATCAAATTATTTTTTCCAAAGCGCTTACTTGGATGTAAAGAAGCAATGTCATTGCGAACGACGGTGACATGGCCATGACCTGTTTGGTGGACAGCCCATGGAAGTCGATGATGATGACCACGCCACGGACTTGAGTCTCTTCTTCCACTAGCGACGCGATTTGGATCAGGTAAAGCACTTTGAACAACTGTTCGCTGTTAAGACTTTTCGGGTCCCAGGCGGCTAAACAATTTCAGGATCGATGTCAATATCGTCGTAAAAAATATGCACTGATTTTTAAAATATGTCAACAG